ACGCCCCCCCCCCCCCCCCCCATGATTAATTGCCATTGTTCTGATGTTATGTTGTGGGAGTTGTGGCGCAATCATGTGCTCCTCTCTACGCGTGTGTCTTGCTCGCTTTCTCACCTCCAACTCTCTTTTCTCTCCCCGCCGCCCTCTCCCCGACCCCTCGCTTGTCTCAGGTGGAGCGTATCTTCGAGGCGATGGACGTAGACAAGAGCGGCGAGATCAGCATCACCGAGTTCGTCGCAGCTTCCTTGGCGAAACAGCAGATCAACACCAGGGCCATCAAGGCTGCCTTCAGGCGACTAGACTACGGCCGGTAAGCCGGTCAACGCTAGGCTGCACAGCAGCAGTCCTTCATCGTCTTTCGGTTTATTTTATTTTTCCCTTTTGCTTGTTTTTGTTCATCTTCATTGCCCTCTTGCCTGTGGCAGGGATGGCGACGAACAATTGCTTTCGCTCCGACCTCGACCAGCGTAGCGGCGACCCTGACACGCTGAACAGGACACTACCACCACCGATCGTTACTGAATGAGGATGGCGGATCACCCCGGGGACCAACCTTACGCTACCTATCCCTCCCCTCTTTCGGACGGACGAATGCTTACGTGTATAGGACGGGGTTGATTACGGCGGCGGACATGAGCATGTACCTGGGTGAGACCTTCGACGAGAGCAAGATGCAGCAGTACATGAGGGAGGTCTCCAGCCGGGAGGATGGCTTGGTGAGTCTGCTTGGTCGTTGCGGCAGCGCCGCTCTCTCCTCTCGTCGTCCCTCGACGAAAACAAAATTCGCCCTTAAGAACCACCGAAAGACTCGACGACGCAAAATGAGCCCAGCAACATGTTTATCTGCGAAAAACCAGATGTTTTGCACTGGTGGTTCGTTTGGTCTCGAAATCAAGCATCGTTGGTGTGGTTAGCCCCCCCCCAGCGGAAATGCTGTTGTCGCGTGAGGTTGTTTCAAGGGCGGGGTTGTTAGTTGCTTCTCTTTTCACGTTCGTGTCTCCGGGAACTCGAAACGAGAGGCCCGCGTTTTCCACCTTGGCCTCCTCAAAGGTAAAGGTTTCACACACCAATCGCCTCCCGGTTGGTTGGCAGGCAGATTTATTTACCTTGATGTTTTTGTTGTGATTTGTTGTCTAAGAAATCAAGTCGCCTGCCTCGATAACCTGCCAGAAGGACTGCTTGTCGTGCATCTTTCCCCCAAGCCCGCTGCTACTCGTCCCCTTTCTCATCGTCTGCTTGGAGTGGGACTTTTATTGGTGGCGGTTAGTTGTACATATGCCTGCCGTTCTTTTCAGGTAAATCTGGAAGATTTTTCCAAGTGCCTCAAGGCGCACGTCCTGAAGAAGGAGGGTTCCTCGTCGCGAGGCAGCTCAAGAAGGTACAGTGAGCATACACACAAAACATGCGGTACACCTTTTGGTTTTTCGGCATTCCTCCGTTCTCCTCTCTCCTCTTCTCGGCCTCTCTCTCTCGCCGGCCGTTCGGTTGGCCCGCGACACGCACGGGCGTCTATTAGTAACTTAGGGCTTGTGGCGTGTTATGATGACAAGGCACCTCGTACGGATGCCGACGTGTCCGCAGCGTTGTTATTGCCGTTGTTGTCGTTGTGGTCGTCGCCGTTGTCCTGACTTCCACAAGCCGTGCTGCCCTCCGCGACCCGGCGGTATACGTCTGTCTTCCGGAGTCAGATATACATACAAGTGCTATCACAACCCCATAGTACCAAATCTGTTTCGTCGGACCATGTGCAAAACCCTACAAAAGTATGAACTGATGCGAGAACACCACTACAGGCGTAGCATACGTTGAGAGCATTTCATCAGACTCAAGACACCTCGAGATAGAACGCCTCACAAGTGAACGTGCGCCAAGACAGGAATAAGACTAAAAATTGACCATACCTTGCAGTCCTTCCACGGTTCTATATAGGGGTAAGCTGATCCGACCCTGTATTCTTAGCGTCCTGTTGTAAACTTATCATGTTTTGATTTACTGATGAGAGCCTCCCCGGTTACTCATGGCAGGGTGACGAACGAGAGCATTGACCGACCAAAGATAAACTAAAGCGAGGAGTCGACGTGTCTTGGAATGCTCCTTGGAACGATGCTCGTTCGCGGAAAAGTGGAGTTCGTTTGGCCCTGCCCAGGGAGCCTCAAGTGCAGCAGGTCGACAGCAAGAGCAGCAGTAGCAGCAGCAGCAATCACGATGAGTTGACGTCAACAGCGTTCCCCAGTGCCTGCCCGCCTTGGCGCACCTCAGCAACTCCGGGCAGGAACACGACTACGGGAGAAGAAACGGGGACTCGTCCAGCACGCGCGGCGGTCTAGACTGCTGCGCAGCGGAGGGCTGGACGCGATAGTACGCGAACAGCGAGGCAGTTCTCGTTGCTCGTTGTCCCGCCATTGTCGGCATGCCTCCCACCGCAACGTTGACTAGGGGGGCGAACCTCTATCGGACGACCCGGCCCCTCACGTTTTGCGAAGGACCATTTTTTTCTGGGGTTTCTCCCCGAGAGAGAGAGAGAGAGAGAGAGAGAGAGAGAGAGAGAGAGAGGCGTATTCTAAATCATAGGCGAACCGTTTTTGGTGGCCGAGAGGCTGAGGGGGGTGTCCGCCGGTGGCAGTCCGACGAACGGATCGTCAGCTTCGTGGATGGTTCCGTTCCAACGGGGATTAGTTGGAAACCCTAGGGTGGTGTGGCGTGCTTTTTTTGTCGCCGTTTTTCTCTCAGGCAATGGTGGCTCTTCTTTCTTGTTCTTGCTGTTGCCTTTTGCCTTGTCGACGTTCCGACTGCCCCGTGGTGAGGCGGTGAGGTACAAGAAATCTGCGTCTAGCAGAGCAAAGAGTTTGTGCTCCTGGAACGACGCATGCCGGCGTTTTTCATTAGTTGCTGCTGCTGTTGCTGTTTGCTGCTGCTAACGCTACTAACGCTGCTGACGCTGCTAACGCTGCTAACGCTGCTGTCGCTGCCGCTGCTGCTGCTGCTGTGTGTAGCAAGACAGCCGACCGGCGCCTTGAGATATAGTGTATACTGAAGGAAATAGTGTAATGATAAAAGGTATACAAGACTCCCTCCTGGAGTTAGGTAGCTTGCCTCCCGGGGGCGAGGCAACAGGACATGGTCGATGTCATCGCGGTCGCAACGTTGCATCTCAACGTCATGACGTTCGGTACGTGAGTGCCGGTTTTGCATACAACCTGCAGAGTTTGCCTGGAATTTTGCATCATGTGCGGGATATTTTTTTTTTGTCGCCGTGAATTTTGGCGGGTGTGTGAGTAGGTGCGTTGTGGCTAGGGAAGTCTTTGCCGCAGGTCCTACTGCTGTAATCCGCGGCGTTTGATCACTCGCTCCTATGTGTTCGTGTCGTCCATGGTCGGTCGCCCCGGTGGTCTTGTTGGTATCCTCGAAACCTTCTATTGGGAGGTCAGGGTCAGGGGTCCGGATCCCGGCGTAAGCGAGCTTTTCTTGCAAAGTGAGTTTTCTCTCGCTTCCGTAGCGCTAGTTGGCGTGTACACAGAGGGAAGAGAGTGCTGAACTCTTATCGCATTAAAAATCGAAGGCAACGTACCGCAGGAGGGGAGGGTGGAGAGGGGCTCATCTGTGAGACCACTGGTTGGAGTAAACGGCACTCTTAAAGTGCTGTGAGCACTGATTTGAAGTAAAGACAAAAAAAAAAAAGTCCGTGTGGGACTTGTGTGCGTTCCACAGGAATCAAAACGAAAGTCTTGCTGTTTTCTGCACATTTTTTTTTTGTATTTCTTGCGAAGGCTTTCTTCGCGTGGAACACATCCCCGGGAAGTAGAGCCAGTTTTTTCAACTTTGGGCGTCAAGCACAAGCGCCACCGGCGACTGGTGGTCCTCGGGCGTGCGCGGAAGTGTACGGACGACCCCCCCTGCGTGCCCCTGAGAAGGAAGCGTGAGAAAAGTCTCGCTTCTGCCAGCGAAAAGATATGTATCCCCAAGCACGAAAACGCGCAAGATGGTACCATACATACCATGCACATACTTATGGATAATAATAATGAAGTGTTTCTTCGTTGGACCACGACACAGCAGTACACCCACTCTGGTATGGTGTCAAGACTCTTATTACTTCGCTACTCGTTCTTGTCGTTCGTTGGGGGTTTTGACGGCGTCGCTGAGCGGGGTGCCTTGCCCCGCCCCACGTTTTGTCGTCTTGGAGTGCTTTTACAGCGGTCGACAAAGCTAAGCTTTGAAATGAGCCAGACTTTGTGTCGGCAGCATGTCAACCTGCAGTTGGTTGTGCTTGCTGAGAAACTTCAACGCGGACACAGCCAAGATTTGGCACAGGATGAAATGATGGTGCTCCAGTTTCTGCCGAGGGCGTGTATACTCAGGTACCGTAAGGCGAACGATGGAATGGTTGCTTGCCCTGCGGGAAAATCCAGCTGAAATGATCTTGTGGAAACGCGAGTCTCCCGTAGAGGGCAATCAGACAGAGACTTTTCTTTTTTCAAGGTCCGGTGAAGACCCTTGAAGGCCCTATCGAGCTCGCGAAAGGTTAGTAGTAGAGGAATTCGTCGATCCACCGTTCTTTGGTGTTCGCCGCTTCCAGGTTCAAAACTTCACACAGACAAGTGCGTAGAGTTTTTTCTGAAAGGTTGTGTGGGCTGCCCAAGACTGCTTGATGCTCTGCCTACATCCGACGTTTTCACGCTACTCCTGCAAAGCGTGTGGCCTGTTTGAATTGGTTTGAGTTGCTTGTATGGGGCTGTAGCGACGCGTAATCGAACATGTGCCTAGCCAGTTTGGAAGGTCGAGGCGTGCTGTAAGTCGTGTAGGCTCAAAACGGACCTTGAAACGGCCCAAATGTCAACGCCCAATACCTCTTCTGAGAAACTGCGGAGTGCTATCCACGCACGACCTCAAGTACGTGCGAGTGGAACTCCATGGCACGGGCCCGCCGCTATTCCCAGAATGGGTTTTCGGTTTGATCTGTAGATCTTCGACCGTCTGCGTTTGAGACCACCTGAACTACTATCGAGGGGCCCCCTAGTGACTCGGGGTTGTTTCTGGAGGCGACCGGCCTTTAACGGTTCCGCCTTCCGGGGTATCTAGGCAGAAGGGTTGGCAACACCACAAGGCTAAGCTACTTCACTCCTGAACGTGTCTTGCACTTCACGGAAAAGATGCTATTAGCACGAGCTCCTCCGCACGAAACGCACGAGGGTCTTAAAAAAAGAGTTCAAGGTTTCGTGTGAGGAGCCAACAGCAACCTCATTAGCGCTCTGGTACATTAGCTCGTTCTAGGATGATACACTTTCTGTTTATAAATTTCCGAAACGACAATACATGCATTTCCGGGAGAAGCGTTGGCGTTGCAAAACCCGGTTGCAGTACAACGGTCCTACCACTACTGTAGTACCTCTTGCGCTACCAAACGAAACAATGACGCACCACTACTATGTAAAACGAAAATCCAATGCCAATGTTTTCGCCTCCCACACCCTTCACCTTCCCGCAACCCCATGCCCTTTTCTGTGAAATGTCCCCTGTGAAGAGCTTATCGGCGTATTACCTCCGCGTCCGCGATTCGCTGACTCTTCGCCTGGCTTCACCTTTCACCGCATCACCCCTCTACGCCACGTGAAAAATGACCACCGTCAGCTTCTCTGTAATACCACACACTCGTTGTGTTGTCGGTCCAGGTACCGACGGGGCGGTAGCAGCAGAGACATATTAGCTAGGCTGTCGTACCGAGGGAACTGGGTCAGACGACACGACCGTGGCGAGCAGGGGCCGCGGAACGTTGCCTGCGTTGACGTTGTCATCGTGGCCACCATCGTCTTGTCCATCTTCCGAAGGAATGTGGCACTCATCGTACGACACGGGACGGAGCACGTTCTTTACGAAGACTCGCTGCTGTTGTTGCGGCTGCTGTGGCCGCTGCTCGTGCTGAGCAGCACGTTCAATATCATCAGACGGCGGTATGTCACAAGGCTTTGCGTTCGCCGCTGCTCCAGCCAGCACCCCCAGTGCTTCCTCGTGGGCGAAGTCTAATGAGGAGATGGGTTGCATGCCGCCAGCAGAACCACCGCCACCGCCACCACCTATTCCGTTTCCAAGTCCATCGTTGCCGGTCTTCGGGGAACCAGGTCTGCTACTTGCCGAGGAACTCAATAGCTGCCTCAAAGGCGAGTGCGACCTGGTCCATCTTGGCGACGAGTTGTCACCGCCCCCGTTGCATTCTCTTCCTCGCTCATGCTGCTGGTCGCTGGCTCGTGAAGAGGACGAACCCCCTAGCGCTGCTTCTGTCGTTCCCGCGCAATAGAACAAGAAGCGGTTTACACGCGCATTTAATTATCGCGTACACTGGTGGCCAGAGGCAGATTGTGGGTAGGTTGGGGCACCAACTACAACCTGAGGGGGGAGGGTTGTAGGGAGGTTGAAGCCCAAAGTGCAAGTTATCCCAAATTTCTGATAGGTATTATTTCGACCAACATGGCGAACTACAGGCCCAAAGAAAGAACGGGCTCAAGGACTAACTCGCCCCCCCAACCTCCTCCCCCAGGTTGTAGTCGGTGCTCAACCTGCCCCTCTGGCTACCAGTGTAACATGATTCGGAGGTAGGGTGCCTTTCAGCTTCCTTCTAGAAATTATTGGTTGTATCTGCACCGCGCTAGTCCACAAGATAACTTTTATTTTTTTTTGTACGAGAAGGTTTGCGGTTGGCTTATGTGTGCTCCTTGGAATTCATGGAAGAATTTACACATTCGGTGCTTCTTAGTCCCCTTCTTGTTGATGACCCGGTGTGAGACTCTTCAACTGTCAAGCACCGACCGTGCTACCCTGCTGGCCAATTAAGAAATTACGTACTGCTGCTGTGTTCATCATGTCCTGGATATTCCAGGAAAATGACACACATCAAGTGAACTCATAATGTTGGCAGTAAATGCAGTCTGCTAGTCTAGACTTTGTTTTGAACAGCGGAAGTCCTCTAATAGCAGTGTATCGGGGTTGATGCGTCGTGCAGAATACGACTGGGCAGGAGAACCAAATAGAGCCTGTATGAACAGGTGGGTCAGAACGATACCTAAGTCGAAGTCCGTCCAGACGACCTTGAATACCACGTCATCTTATTTTTCTTCGGACAAACGGGAAGCTACATGTACGAAGACCAGTTTAGAGAGATGCCAGAAAGGGTTAAGGTGGTCATGTTCACAAAAATGCTGGACATACACAATGCAACGCCGTTTGTGAGCGATAGGTCTCACGTACCATGACAAGAAACCGGCGTGAACCGGAAGACTCCCCGATACGTGGAAACTACCAGGAATCTATTAATTCATCACCTTGCTCGGGTTCAACGCGTACCACACCAGTGGCCCTCTCCACCACGGCTGCCTCTTCAAAACTAGCCATGGCGCACCGAGCAGCAGCCCCGCAGTGTTTCTCTCGGCGTGACGCACTCCCGCACACGGAACAAACCCGTGTTGACCCCCGCCTCTCGGACTGGAAAAGAAACGCGCAGGGGGAGACCGACTGGCACTGCTCTAAGCACCACAGGTTGACTTATGTTGCCCAGAATTATTCCCTGTTCCGCAGCAACTGTCCAGAGCCCAGAACCGTGCTACGACGCTGCGCACATCAGCGACATCATGGATCATGGAGCCAGCGCCAGCAGGAACCTCGGGTGCGGTGGAATTCGAAAAGGTAAACGGAGGATATTCGCCATAGTCGACAGTCCCGTGTGATAGATCGAGAGAGATGGACGCATGGCGCATGGGCGCGCATCGACGCACGGCGGCGGGAAGCAGCTGGAAGGACTAAGACAGCGTGAGATGGCAGAGCAAGTACGGAGGCTAGATGCTTCCACCGCGGAGTACTCCGATTTTGTTGATGTTATGAAGAACAATACCCCGGTGAGTATTACCTTACTCAGATCAGGACGTTAGCGAGTTTGGGCCTTGCTGCAGTTGCTACCGCTGGTGATTGGAGCTAAAACGATCGTGTGACACAGGGGCACCTACTGCTGTGGCACACTCCCTACCGCTGAAATCACGGTTCATCTTTGACACACATAGACAGCATGTTCATCTCCCCGTTAGCACAGCCACCGTCGAAAAAACTCGCTTTCAAAAGCCGTCACAAATCTCTCTCTCTCTCTCTCTCTCTCTCTCTCTCTCTCTCTNCCTGCTATGAGACCCCGGTTGGGTCGTCTAGCTGGCAGAAGTGGAGGATAGGGGCCAGAGATGCAGACGACAGAATCCAATGACGGGAGACAAAAAAAAAAACTATCGTGATGTGACCTACAGCTACAGTCATGCATTGAGCTCCCTCTCTCTCCCTCCCTCCCTCCCTCCCTCCCTTCATCAGAGAAATGCCTCGCTAGTACTGCTGTAACCACATGTTCAACCCTCGACGAATGTTTTATCGATGATCAATGATTCCCACCCCCGACCGCCCCAGGCAATCTTGACCAACTTCTCTGGTCTTCTTCCGTCCTTTCTGCCATGGCAGAAGGACGGTAGAGCCGACGTTGACTTCCTGCGGCAAGAGTTCGGTGATATGGAAGTCCCGGTGAGCACGCCACCTGGGCCCGTCCGCCCAGATGATGGTAGGACAATATGCACATATGTTAGCACTCATCAATTTGGAAACAAGTACATGAAGGTGTCAGGGCATTACGTTCGGCGCCTGGTTTGCAATTCCCACGTGATTGCCGGTCTTTAACGCTCGTAGCATGTGTTTCAGGCAAGGCACACGCAGAACCATGAAGCGGACCCGATTGCGGTGATCACTCCCTTGGTTCGGCACGAGCATAGCGCTAGTATTCGGTCAAGCTCAGCTTCCTTTCTCTCCACTCGCGCCCCCGGCCTCGCTCGCCTCCACATGCTCGCACACAAGCTGCGAATCAAGAAAAATACGCTCTCGCTTCTTCGCCGCATCGCGACGTTACGTTACGCAGGTGGTTGAGTGCTCCCCCCTGGAGGGGTACGGCGAGGAGAAACGGGTCTCCATGACACTACGTGAGCTTTGGATGCGCTCCAAAAAGCCACGAAAGAAGCTGCTACAGCCGTAGTGTCGTCTCGTCCTGGAGTGTTGGTCGGGCCACCGTGCTGTTGTTCTCTTTGGCGCCGTCGTGCATAAGAGTGCTGCTATCGGTAGTGCTTCATCCTGCTTGCGACCGCTGCAGCCACCCGATAGATACCTCTCATACTTCATTTTTTTCTCATACCCCGGCTCCTCCCGAAGGAGAGCCACTTCTTGGTCGTGCTGCAGAAGCAAAAGAACAAAAGACGCTTTCGCCCGAACACACGCGCGGAAAACAGGCGAATACTTGGATGCCGTCCACGATGGCGAACGACCCGAGCCAACGTGCGGAAGCAGCGGCGATAGCGGGGTCGGCCCCGTCCTGTACCTGAAGGATTGGCACTTCCAAAGGCTGATAAGAGAAGGAAAGAAATCTTCACACTCTGCTTTGGCGCCGGCGGATGAGGGAGGCGTCAGCGCGGCAGGCGCCATGGAGACTCCATCTTTCTTCCGAGATGATTGGCTGAATTGGTGGTAAGCAAGGTATTGGGGGGGACATGGTCAAGAACGTTGTGGAGCCCCCCGCCACATCTGTATAGGTCTGTAAATGTGACCTGCAGAGTGTCCACTCTCCTACGCTACAAGCTACACATAAAACCAAAAAAGCAAACGAAAAACACTTGAAAGCGAATCATCGTATACTATGCAAACTTGTTTTTTTTCTGTTGAAAGGTGTGACAGGCAAGGACAGGACGACTACCGTTTCGTCTACATCGGCCCCCCCGGTTCATTCACCGGCCTTCACCATGACGTCCTCAACAGGTGTGGAGTAGCTTTACAGACCTCAGACAGGTGCGTCTCGTCAAACACTGGTGTATTAGCAGCAGCCCCTGTCGCCCCAGGATACACATCGCCCCACCTGCTCCGACACCCCCTTTGCCCGCACGCCCGCACATGTACTTCAAGCTTTAGCTGGTCCTTCAACGTCTGTGGCAGCAAGTACTGGACCCTGTTCCCGACGAAGGCCACGCCGGATCTATACGATAGGTGAGGTTTTCTGTTCTACGTTCCGCTTGTACGTACGTGACGCGGCTGAGGTGGTCTGGCTATAAGGCATCAGAATACAAAGCGGTGAGAAGTACCGACGTTGTGTGGCGCCATGGTTGTAAGGGGGGGCGAGGGAGATAGATATCCCCCCAAGCGTTCTACTAAATGACCTTTCACTCACGCACTCACATACACCGCGCGTTCCTGCATTGAAAGTGCACTACTTTGCCTATCTTGATGAACTCCAGATACGGTCGAGACCTGGCCAAAGACGTTCGGAGCGGCCGCGCGGACCCCGACAAATTCCCTCGCCTCGACGCCGCTCCGAGGCTAGAGGTTTACCAGGGGTCCGGGGAAGCTATATTCGTTCCCTCGGGATGGCATCACGAGGTGCCCGTAGACTCTTTTCCAAACGGTGTTTCAGTATGGGCGCTCTAGAAAACATGTTGTATCACGGGCTGTTTGGTGCTATAAACGGGGTATGTGTGTGGACAACTTGATTTTCCCCGGAAAACGGTCTTTCGTCGCAGGTAGGTGCGTATGATTGGCGTCTACGTTAACGCTATACCTACTTACCAGATTATCGGGGCAGAAATTCAGACAAAGAGCGAGCCAGGAGTCCTGCATGAAAATATCAGCGGGTGGACGGGTAGACGGTAGGCGGGTGGGTGGGAACGTGTATTCGTTTCTTGTTTGCCCTCGTACTTGGACAAAAAGACACGCTGTTGTATGTAACATACTCTTGTCAGGACGGAAACTACAAATCTATCGACCAATCCATGCGATTCACCTAAATCCAACACCATCTAACACTTTCCCCGACCCGCCCCCGCGCCTTACAATAAACATATCAGGTTGTCAACACCGGAGACGGGAGGGAAGGAGGCGGGGGCTTGACTGTCTCGGTCAACACGAACTGGTTCAACGGCTTCAACCTCGACAAGGTTGCGGCCTTCCTGCGCTCGGAGCTGTCCGCGGTGCGCGGCGCGCTCGACCACCTCCGAGAGACCATGTCCGGGAAGGGGGGCGCGGGAGGGGCGGGCGGAAGGAGGGAGTGGGAGAGCCAGTGCGAGCTGGTGATGCGGGCGAACAGTTCCTTCAACATGACGGACTTTGCGCGACTGGTCACGGCGAGGGCGCGGCATCTTCTCGGCCCCCGCGCCGCGCAAGACTCGGTTTGCGACGGCAATCCAGAACGATGTCGCGGGAGCGGAGAATCAGGCCATGGCAGCAGCAGCAGCAGCGGCGGCGGCGCGTGGCAGCAAGAGCGATGGGTGGTCCTCGCCCTCCAACAGGTCCGGGCCGTGCTGGGAGAGTTGCTTGTCGCCCCCTCCGCCGACCACGTTTTTCTAGACCGTGGCGGCGATAGCGCCAGCTTGCCGGACGAAGACGGGGCGACCTCAGGCGAGGGTGGCGACATCGAGGGAGGTAGCGACGGCGGCCTCCGCGAGACGCTGGACGCCGTGGAAGCCTATCTTGTCACCCGAGATGTCACTCGTGAACAATCATCTGGTGCGTCGACTGCCCTTGAGCCTGACGGCGGCGGTCCAGTCAATTGACCGCCCGAGTTTCCAAGGGTGTGCGAAAAGATGGCAATAACTCAACACGACACGAGGCGCGATGCCTCAAAGATCGGATCCATTCGTTGAAGTGGGTTTAAGCTGCGTGTGTGGGTGCGGCGACAACCGTCGTTCCTTGCGCACTCTGTCGCGTGGCGAGTATCGGCTGATGCTGCAGGCCCGTGGCCATGCATGACGTTTCCTTTAGGCGCACCGAGGATGCACATTCCGCCATAGCGCACCTTCAACCATCCTCGAGGAGGAGGAGGGTTCGCTAGCGACCGTTCTTTTACCTGCCGTCCAAATCCACATGTGACACACGCGTCCACCGGCCCTCCCCAACTTCCACAAGCTGAACGATACCGCAGGAAAATTTCACAAGCGGAACGTTACTGCGGAAAGCTAGGCAACGCACGATGGTCGAGTGTTCAAGCGTGTGGTTCTTTCAATCACCACTGGTACGCTCAAACCAGTGCAGTGAGCACCTGCAGAAAGCAGCGACACAGAGAAGAGCGAACGGCGCAGCAGCTGGTACACCAAAATACAGGGAGGGAGTCGCTCCGTAATCCCGATGTCCTGCACACCCTGACAGACGGAAGATAGGGTTACCGAATGCCATTGTTGTGGATCGCTTCAAGCGACATTATTTCTATCTCTCCCCGGGTTTTCGTCGTTTGGCAACGATGTTGTAAAACAAGCCAATTCACTTCGTGAACTCGGCAACCAGGTTACCGTTTTTTTTTTTTTACCTCCGTTTTTTTTTTTGGCGGTAACCATAATGGTGGTCGAATAGATCATGTTGTGCGGGGTGGAGAACCCTCGCTCCGCGCAAGGGGGATGATCGCACCACGTTTGTGTTAAAATGGTCAAGCACCCTCGAGGCAGTTACACAGTGCTTACAACTGTCTCTGGAAGTGAAAGCACCAGAAAATAGATTAAGTCATACGCAGCTGTCATCCGTACGCAAGGAAGTAAGCACAAGATGCCGA